AAGGTCCTATTACCCCCTGAAATTATTTTATTAATAATTTTTTACCCCTTTTCGACCTACGTGGCACTATCTTGTGGGTCCAACGATGGTTGACTTTTTGTTCCAAACCAGTGCCACGTAGGCTAAAAAGGGGTAGAAAATTACTTATAAAATAAGTTCAGGGAGGTAATAGGACCTTAGTATAGTATAAGTGTGTCTCTGAAATTTCGGGCATAGATTGAGGGGTACTTGTGCATTATCCCATTTTTATATATCAAGATTTTACATTATAATTTGAGTCCATCCATTATAGTGGTAAAATCTCATGACCATTGTTAGCCAAACGTATCCATAGCATGACATAATATAGTGTGCACATTTATTTTTTTAGACATAAACGGAAAACATAATTTCAAGCATTTGAGAGGAAATTTCTTATAAAATAGATAATTTGTATTAATTATCATACAACAATACAACGGCTAATAATATTTAATGATGGAGGCAGAATTTTTATCGAGGAGGTTCAAAAAATAACTAAGTATCCTAATAGTATTTGTAGAAGCAACGCGGACGCGGCGGGTTAAATATAAATGAGTTTCAGATATAAGTAATTAAAAAAATTCAACTCTACCTTAACACAAACAATAAAATTAAATAAATATATTTTTGACATAACATTAAATTGAGTACGAGAGAATGTATTTTTTAAAACTATAATTATGAGTTTTGTCTGTGTCATTGTGATATATAAACATTATTCAGTAATCCAATCATATTGTAGCAATAAAATCCGTGTCGAAAAAATAATTATCAAGAATGAAAAATATAGCGACCATCATATTTATTAATAAATTTTATATAACTACTCTTATTTATTTATAAATTTAAATAATCCTTATTTATTTAATCTTACTTATATTTATATTATTTTTTCATTAAATATAAATCAAGCATTTGACTTAAAATGAATATGAAAGAATGTATTTTTTAATTTTAATTCTGAAAACTTAAAAAACGTTATAACTTTTACTTAATTCTATAAAAATAGAAAATAAATTTATTTTTTAATGTCTAATAAAATATTATTAGTCCCAATAGGTTTCCAACAAAACAAATCTTTCATTTATTTAGAAATAAAAATGAAAATCAGTTGAAACAATGGAGAAAAAACATTGTTATATGTGGAGTTGAAGTCGCAAGCACTTGTCCAAAGGGTTCATCACTTAGTGTATATATAAATAAAAGAATTAAGCCTATGTATACTATATAACCTTTCCAATAAAGGGGGATCGAATGAACCCCTCATATTCATGTAGATCCGTCTCTGTCGACACATCTTAAGAGAAATAATCTAATGTGCTGAAAGATAGGAGTTAGGGAACCCTTGAAAGCAGGGTGGGGGCTCATCCAAAGTAGGATATGAAAACTTTAACGTGTTGCTTAATCGGTGTGTCTAGATACATGCATTAGTCTGCATCATTTAAAATACATAATACCCCTAACAGAAAGAATATAAGTAGATATTAAATTGTGTTATATATAAAATGACATAATGAAACATGATCACACACACTATATATGTATACATGACATGAAAAGGATTAAGAAGTCAAAAGTCATTAGGTTGTCTTAATATTTAGGCCTCATTTGTCTGCACTCAACAAATTCAGATTCAACATATTAAAGTTCATTTGTTTTTGTTTTTTTTTTTAAAAACTTTTAATGAATTTGAAAAAATTTGAACAAGAGAGTCTTAAGTCGTAACAACATTGAGACTTATTTAATACGTCACAAGATAATCATGTCGTCCGCCTCTCTCTCTGCCCAACTTTATCTCTTTCGCTACGACCTTTCATCCTTTCCTTTCTCAATCGAACACCATTTTTTCTCTTGAATTAGTAAGTTTGATGGACTAACACTCATATATAGCCGGTCTAATTATCGCTTTGTAAAATTTGCCTTTTAAGGTTTGATGACATTTTCTAATCACGCACAACTCTGAAAGCGAGCATCCATTTTATCTAATCTACACCTATACGATGTGTGACACTGTTGTCAATTTCCCTTTTCATTAAATAATAGACCTAAATACTTGAAACATCCTCTCTTTTGAATGACTTATGTATCAAACCTCACTTTCATGCTAGCTTCATACATTGTGTCATTGAATTTTTACTCCAAATATTATGTCTTGGTTCTAGTCAATCTAAATCTCTTAAACACCAAGGTTTACTCCAAACATTTTGCTTATTTTAAATTTACTTTAAATCTTATCAATCAAAATTATGTTATCAATAAAAAAATACACCATAATAGAATATGCGCGTCAATACATCCATCACTTGAATAAATTAAAAAAAAAAGATTAAGAATTGCTCCATGGTGAAATCCCTATCATAATATTTTTATTCTATAATTCCACATAATTATTGCTACTAAAACTAATTCAATCTATTAAAGTTATGGATAACCCATTTTTATAATCAATTGTGCTTAGCAAGCATTGAACGCGGTGATGAATTTGTTTATCAAATATTTTATGTAAAATGATAATTATTCACTTACACTAGTATATTCATGTATACTTCCAAACTTAGTCCAATTTTAATGATTTAAAATTAAACAAATTACTATTAAAAATTCAACATAGAACTCATTTTTTTCTTGTAAAAATCTGGACTATAATATCTTCATTTACTATTGAGAAATATTGTTGATAAAATAACATTTAAAAAAAAAATAAAGAACAAGGAAATTGAAGTATCAAAACAAATTTTGATAAGAAGATGATAAAACATATGTTGCAATCAAGCATTTTAAAAATTAATTTATAGGAATCATATTTAGATATAGTTAAACTCGTAAAAACCACATATGACAAGGCTATAAAAAATTCTACAACATTCTAAATTAGCTAACAAAATATAAGATTTATATTCAATTCAATTCATTTTTTCTTATTTAATATCAAATCAAACAAAAGCAAATATATGCAAGTATATAAGCAAATACATTGAATTAAATTGAATTTTAAAATAAAGTTATCAAACTCATTAATCTTTTTTTTTTACTATATACTTTTTTAAATTTATTGGGATTTAAAGCAAAAAAGTTCAATTTATGTACCAAAATAAATATTGCATCCTTAAACAATAAAGTGCTAAATATTTAGGCCCTAAGAAAAAATAATATAAATAAACATCCCGCCGTGACCAATCGCCGGTGAGTATCTCCAAAACCACGGCAAACGGCAATTTTTTTTACCTTGTTCGGAATTCTTCCGGCGGAGCATCGCCGGAGATATTTGAATACTGACACACTTGTTTTGAGCCTGTAGAAGAATCAAAACTGAAAAAAAGCGAGGAAAGAGCATTAACAGAGTAATGGATCGGTTAGTAGCAGCAAAGGAGCTATCTTTTCGAATAGGGTTTACTGGACACAGTGGTCACCTCACGATCGAGCCTCTCCCTCCTGTTGAACGCGATACTCCTCTCAATTCTATTCCTGACTTCATTTTGGTAAGCTTTTCTGTCACACTCACACTCCTTATTTTTTCTTTTATTAAGGGCTTCATTTGGTATGAGGGATAAGAGATAATAATACAGCTACAAAATGCAGACTGTTAATCACGAAATACCCCTAAGGGTGGTATTCTGGTCACCTTGCTTGCAACTGGGGCTTTTTGAAACATGAAACTTTCTACAGAGATATATCTAGAATTTTTAGGCAATATGTCCTGAATTAGGTGTAGCATTTGAATTGCTATGTAGGCATTTGTTTACAGAGTGTTCAAAGCCCACTCTTTCTGCACTTTCACCTAATTCATTGATGATAATGATTGAAATGTATTAATTAGCAATGGAAATAATGATTCCAAGAGCATTGCGTGGTATTTTTCTAGTTTGATTGCAATGTATGGTTTGGATAAGTTAGTTAGAAAGAAATTCTTTCTCCGGAAGGGAAGCAATTGGTGGTTGGATAGGAAGGAGAGTGATCGGAATGACGTTGGGTAGAAAGAGGGATATAGTGCTCTTTAATAGGCATTTCATCTATTTTGGGTTCTATTATTTTTTAACAACGATCTTCAACATGTGTTTACTTGGAATGACTTTCAAGTTTCATCCGAGTCTTTGCTCTAGCATGAAAAAATTCCTTTTTTAGGAAGGACAACTTACTATTATACGTTTTGTATTATCGAGCCCTACTATGGTCTTAGAACACATAAACACACTCTGGCAACATGCTCAGACACATTAAGTGTTCATCCATTTTAGGTTTTAGTACTTCATAACAATTATCTACAACATATGTGGACCTGGAATGACTTTCATGTTCTTGCTCCATCATGAAAGTTTCATTTCACTGTAGGTAAATGTAGCATGATAGTTTCTATTTCATTGAGCTCTATTTTCGTCCCCCGATAGGAATACATGTTAACCAATCACATGTAAATAGGGTTTGAATCAGAGTTCACAGGTTTCATGGAACCTGTACTGGATAGGACTTACTACTTGGTAACTCTGTCAACCAAGACTTAGGTATATGAGAGGAAATTACTTAGCTTTTTATACATTTACACTCCCTATCTATACATTCCTGAAGATTTTACAGTTCTATGTTTTTTGTTATTTTAGTTTGTTGATTGAATGCATGTTAGTTAGCGACCAATGAGAAGAGGAAAATGAATTTTAAATTAATATGACTTGCTTATGAAAACAATGAGAACTACACTGAATACCAAATTGTTGGGTCAATTATATGGGTACTCTGTATTCATTCTGCTATATTTGAAATGTTATATGCTCCCTACATAGGCAGTAACCCTTGGGGGTTTAAGGGGAGAGAGAATACACCATATTTGACAAATATTTCCTACCAAGAACCTCACTACAGAATTCAGATCAAGCCAGGACCCGCCAAATTCTTGATATCTACCTAATAACAGGTGATATATTGTTTGCAGAATTCTTAGAGATCAAACTTTAGTGCTGGACCTAGTTTGATTGTCTTTTTCCCTCCAATTTGCTTTTGCAGTAATAATTAACACCCTGTAAACTTCTGGTTGTCCTTTCTGGGACTCCTTAATTGAAGCCTATGTATTGTTTTGGTTCTATGATCTTAATCTAGGTTTTGGCCTCTGACTATTAAGTGGGGGATTTGAGGCAGCTTTAGTTTTAGAGAATCATTTCATTAAAGCACAATTCTTTTTGCATTTAAACAGAACGTACCTGGAGTTAAATGAATACAGAGGATTCTGATACCCAGACAATCTAATCTGGGACAGAATGATAGTTGATTGGTCGATTTCTCTTTGAACTGCTGCCTATAAGGCCAAGGAATTTCAAATCTTTGTTTAAATTTTATATACCAGCAGCATATCCATGCTTAATATTTCCAGTTATATGAAAAGCTTCAGTCATTGCCTTTTATTAACCTCCCTAATAATGACATATGCACTTGATGTTTGATATTTAAAATTATTACTTCAATACTTGCTCCATAATCAGATCTAATACACATCCCTCTTAAAAAAAGTGTAAACACAGATTATGATCACTTTTATGTTGTTTCAGCCACCTGCATTTCCAAAGGAAACACCTGATACAATAAAGGAATATATTAGGGAGAAGTATCTATTGCCTCAGCTAGATGCAGACGAGTTTTCTCCCGAAAAAGTTGGAAGGCAGTGGGAGTTTGATTGGTTTGAGAGAGCTAAAATCCTTCCAGATCCATCTTTGCCTCGATCTGTTGTTGTCCCTACATGGGAAGTGCCTTTTAGACGTCAGCGGGACAGATTGGATAATGGAAGATGGGAACCAAAGTCAGAGGAGGTATACAGAATTTGCAATCATTTTATCAACTTTTAAGTGTTAATGCTTTAACAAGTTCCTTTCTTTACTGATTTTCATTTCCTTTTCCATACTAAGACCACTGGAAAATTTTGAGGATCTGAAATTTCCTTTTTGGTTGCTAATCCTGACATTTTTTGTCTCACTTCTGACTTTCTCAGAGAGATGTATCAGAACTTACAATTGGAGCTGATGATTCTGGGGCTCTACCGCGCATTGTTGGACCACCAAAAGATTTTGTTAGAGGAAGCATTAACAGTCGTCCATTTCGACCTGGTGGCTTGGATGATTCCCCTTCGTTGGGCAGAGTTGTTCCTGATGGTGCTACAAACGGTGAATGGGTAAGGGAGGTTCTTAATGGCGGTCCTGCCCAAACCGCTCCTCCAAGCTTTAAGCAAGGACCTGATCTTGGCGATCTTAAGGTAAGGTTTTTGAGTTTTTTAACCATTGAAGAGCTTTTGATTAAGTTATTCTTCTGTATATAAGACGTTATGAAACATCTTATTTGTATATTTCTAAGGATACACATTCATGCTCTTGGAATATATATGAGGATCAGAGTGCTGCTACGAACACAGTGGAGGTGAAACTGGTTAGTACCACAATAAAATCAAGTTTTCTTATACTCTTATATAAAATATAGACATCTACTTTTATATTCCCATCCTATCAAGTAAAACTGTGGTGGATTATATGCACCCTAGGCCTGCTTGTCAGATTTGCTTTGGAATGTGTCAAGTAATTTTGTTCTCATCTTCTGTTTTTTTGATAAACATCTCTGTCTGGCAATCTGCAGAGTGACTTATCCGTGCAGTTTGATGACTTGTTCAAGAAAGCTTGGCAAGAGGATGTCACAGAGTTTGTTGGAGATGGTCTGTATCATCTAGAGACTTCTTTTAATTGTTTTATGTTTCTTGTGTTTGAAGAGTGGTTTCATAGTCAAAGATCTCTAGATTAGCCAAAAGTCAATTTAGCTTGGACAGAGTTAGTTTTCTTTATCTGATAAACATAGCAAACATGTAATATTTTAGGATAGCATGCTTATATGTCATGCATTCCTCCTTGAAGCTCAGGTTTTCCTGTATTTTCCCACTTTTGTTGGGAAAGCAGTTTCCATAACAGAAGAGTGAAATGTTTGTTGAACACCATCATGTGCTTAGGTAGTTCTGATCACGGGTCTTAAGTGAAATGTTTTGGTCATGGATGCTGGTTTAGGTTGGATAAAGGGATTGGATAAAGCGATTTTATGTTGATGACAATGAAGGAAATGGAGACGAGATTGCACATGTGCTTTATGCTGATGATACCCTATTGCAATGTGAAGTAGACAGGGTGCAAGCTCTATATTTGAGGGTCATTTTTTCGGTGTCCAAAGTTGTGCCAGGGCTGAAATTTAACTTATCCAAAGGTACTGTTTTCTGTATTTATCCTGCGGATTCTATTGCTCAGTATGCTGAGATCCTGCAATGTAAAGTAGAAGTTTTTCTCACTACACATTTGGGAATTCCGTTAGGGGTGGCAATTAGGCGGGTTGGGTCAAATTTAGACGGGTTATAATGGGTTAAGATAACAATTGGGTCAAGACCCAACCCAACCCAAAATTGCTCGAGTCAAAATGGGTTACATTATGGGTCAAGACCCAACACAACCCAACCCAATTTTTACCAAGCTTAATTGTTTTATTTGTTCTTTTAAACCTTTTTAGTACTTAATAAAATCATTATTTTCTTTATTATGGCTATATACAACATAAGAAATTGGAAAAAGAGTTCTATAAAAATATTTTGAGCAGATTTTTCATGAGCCAATTTGGGTTACATATCAACCCATTTTTTAATGGGTTGGTCTAATGATTGGACGGGTCAATTACCCGCCCAAACATAAACGGTTTGGGGGGGTTGGTCTTGATTTTGCCACCCCTAACTCCTGTGGGTGCTAGAAAGAATGATGTGGGGTTGCAGGAAGGATAGTTTTGATAATTAGCATCATGGTCTCTCTACTTATGTTATGTCACTTTTCCCCTCATCTCCTAAGGTGAAAAAACGATTGGATTCACTTAGAAGTAACTTCATAGGGAAAGGAAACGAAGAGAACAGATGTTCACCTTGTGGGATGGAAATTTTTGATCTCTAGTTAAATACTGGTGGAAATGCCGAAAGGACAAAATTTCATCTGGTTAAATGGGAGTCTGTGAATAGGAGTAAAATGCAAGAGGACTTGGAGTCAGGAACTCAAATTAGATAATAGAAGTCTTCTGGAAATTGTTGTGGATGTTGAATGATGGGACGGATGCTTTGTGGTAGAGGGTCATTGTTACTAAATATGGCAAAAAATAGATATTAAGATCCCAGAATAGTTGGTTCTCTCTTTGGGTTGCAGCTCGGAAGCAGATCATGACTCTATGGGGTGATTTTGAAATAGCATTAAGTTGAAATTTGGTGATGAGTGAAAAAACAAGAATTGGACAGATTCCCAAGCAAGCGGGGCTGAGTTTGAAGAGGATCATTTTGGGGGACAATGATGAACTTCTTAAGGGTCAGTTCCTAGCACTTTTAGCCTAGTTATGGACGAGGAATGCTTAATTGCTGCCTGCTTTTCTAATTTAGGGGGGGGGGGGTTTAGATCAAGGTGAGGACAGAAGAAACTGTGGATGTAAATACCCGTCAGTATTGCATGGATAGTTTTCTCGAAAGAAGTCAGAGATGTTTTGAAGACAGAAAGGATTCCACTTCTTATGTTAAGCCATCTATGTATTCAGAATTTAGTCTTTTGTGTTGAAAGAGAATGTAACTAGGATTCTAAAAACAATGGACTTGTTTGTTTCTTTATGATGTAGGACTGGGCATGTTCTTTGCTTGTACTGAATATTAGTACCATCTTGGTACCTTTATTGATAATACTTCTTACCTTTTAGAAAAAAGTGCTCTCTTTGACATGTTAAGCTTTTAGATGTGATGTCCACATAATTCAACTATGAGTAAGTAAGCATGGAAGTTAAAGGAGATGTTGAATTGTGAATAACATATGCATAGGTGAGACTTTTTCTAAACTTTATTTTACAAGAAGTGATGCTTTGAAGATAAATCAAGTCCTATCAAGCAGATAAAGTTGATTTTTTTGGGTACTTTTGTATTTTTGGTGTAAAGGAACATGTGTAGAAAGATCATGATTTAAGTTTTGATGTTTTAGACTCCTTGTAGATGATAGAGGAGCTATAAGTTTGGTCTCTTTACAATTCTGTAATCAGGGAGGATTATACTTTCTTTGTATAGTATTGCTATTTATATAAGATATGTTAACTGTTTCACAAAAGAAGTGATGCTTCTAGTTAAACATTGGGGAGACCGGAAGATTATAGCAAAGCTATCAAACATTGATATATATTTGAACTATGGGCTATTCTGAAATAAATTAATTATTAGAGAGCATTATCTTCTCTATTTGTTCTCTAAGAAGAAAACACTGAGGATGCTATCCAGTTGGTAGACTTTTTAGGATATCTGTAATTAGTTTTTTTCCATTTCATTGTTGATATCTTTTTGGAGATGGCCAGCATAACCCTTAATTCTGAGGAATACGATTACCAGTTTAAAAAAAAAAAGATTATTCCTCTCATGTAGGTCATACGTCTGAATTGCAATCTGAAGCGGAACAATTGCCATCTGTGAAGCCAGAGCTACTTCAGGTTGAAGCTGAAGTAAACAAGTCTGAAGTGGCTGACAAGGGTCTAGACACTGAGATATCTGTCTTGGATGAGATTTTGTCCGTTGAAGCAGAAGGATCAATATCAAGATTGGATGTGGATAATGATGGTGCACGTCAAGAGAATGACGTAACAGACACATTTCTTGCTTAACACAGTTCTAGATTTCCTTCATTTGATAAGTTAAAGTGGAGTTATCCATTTTTTTGAATACTGCATCAAGTATAGTGATCTTTTTTATGCTTTTTTTCTAAACATCTGATGCAGGGATGGGCTGTTACTGGTGGCGGTGAAGTAATTGTAGAACGATTTCATGATCTCATCCCTGATATGGCTCTTACTTTCCCATTTGAACTCGACCCCTTTCAAAAGGAGGTATAAATCTATGTTTTATGTTGTGTTTTTTAATGCTGATGTGGAACTTGGTATCTCTGCCTTATTTAATCTTATGTCCCTTAATTGTTGGGTAAATACATGCTTTCAATCTATGTTGCTTAGACTCTTCAAAAATGTCGACGGGTGTGTGTCGGATCCTCCAAAAAATAGTGTATTTTTAAAGATCCGACGTGCAGCAACATTTTTGGAGAGTCCGAGCAACTTAGCTTTCAATCATGGGCCCCATGTTTTAGTCGGATGATGTTCCATTGGCATGAATGGCGAAGTGTTAATTTTGAACATAATAGGCTGAGTTCTGTTTGCTTTTTTATTAACTTGAAACGATTTGTTGTGTTTCTTTTTCCTTTTCATTTCAGGCATATATATGCCTGTCGAGCTGTTAAAAAATTATGGTCCTTGTGATTGCATTAATTGCAGGCCATCTATCATCTTGAAAAAGGGAACTCTGTCTTTGTTGCTGCTCATACATCTGCTGGGAAGACTGTTGTGGCTGAATATGCATTTGCTTTGGCAGCTAAAGTATGGATTCTCTTTATATCATGGATTTTATACTATTTGACTCTTGTTTTGGTTATAAAAGAATATATTAAAAATTTTATATTGATATCTAAAGTATAATCTTCTTCTTTGCTCATAAATAAAATGTCTTCTCTTTTACATATCCTATTTATAAGTTCCTTTACAACTTTTTGAGTCAATACTGTCCAAATTTTCTCGTCTTTATTTGTCAACAGGTCTGCACCAAATTTATGTTTTTTTATTGTGTGCTGCAGCATTGTACCAGGGCTGTATATACAGCTCCAATCAAAACAATCAGCAATCAGAAATACAGGGATTTTTGTGGGAAGTTTGATGTTGGCCTTCTCACAGGTGATATAAGCATAAGACCTGAGGCCTCTTGTCTTATAATGACCACTGAGATATTAAGGTCAATGCTTTATAGAGGGGCTGATATGATTCGGGATATAGAATGGGTAATTATTAAATATTTTGCTCTGCTCATTTCACTTCTACAACCTTTCCAGTACTTGAGATAATTTGGTTGGTTACTGGTATTTTTTTGTTGCGAGTGTAGGTTATATTTGATGAAGTGCATTATGTCAATGATGTTGAAAGAGGTGTTGTTTGGGAAGAAGTTATCATTATGCTCCCAAGACATATCAACTTTGTCCTCCTTTCAGCTACGGTGGGTCTTGATATTTTAGTCACTATACTTTGTGCTTTGGATCAGTACTCTTAATGAAGGTATGAGAGTTAAAGACACAACAAAAAGATGTGTAAGGATGCATGAGACAAATGTCTTGCACCTGCACTTTCTTATACAAACTTTTCTATGTATAACTTCACATTTGATCAACACAGGACACTGATATGTAGCGTAGAACAACTTCTAACTATTAAGCTTAGCAAATCTAACATTCTACCTGAAGTCAGTGCCCCCTGGTCTAATGTCGATGCAACTTATTCGATGATGGACGTGGTAAATATGTTTGGATAATCATTTGACATTATGAATCTAGTGACAATGTCTCTTGAGAGTATCTTTTCTGTGAGAATCTTGTATGTATTCGATTCTCTCTTTAAACTCTGAACTTGATGCAATATCAGGTGCAGCTTGATCATCACACACAAGTCCCATCTGAGCGAGTTATTTGAACTTAAATTCCTTCCATATTTGCTTGACCCGTATGAGTTCTCAAGTTGCCGGTGCGAAGGCTCAAGACTTTGACACTGGATCTTGTAATCACGCTTTGATCTTTGCTCTTCAGGATACTAAATTGTCTCCAATTAGAACACAATATCCAAAAGTAAAATGTGTATTGGAAGAGAACCCTGTTCAATCAGCATCAATATATGAGAAATAAAGACATGCAGACGATTTATGGGAATGCGTGAGACCAAGGCCTTATGCGTGCATCTTTTTATATGCACACTTTACAAAGTATAATTATACATTTGATCAATGTGGGGTACTCATAAGTATAGTGACAGCCCCTTTCAACCATTGATGCTTGGCCTATCTAAGAAAAGGTAGCATTTGACATTTGCTTGATCTGAGCTTAGTTATTATTGTCTAAAATAGCATAATAGGGTCAATTTAGGCATATTATACTTGTGTCAAAAACAATTGTAGGGTGTCATGGATTAGGGGCTTCCCTTTGTTACTATTTTGAAAAACTTTTTTGGTCATCGAAGTCATAATTGCTGTACTCCAACAGAGTTGATTAGCTATCATTTTTATGGTATCAGACATCTTTCTCATGACATGATACTCCTTGATCAATTTTGGGTATATATTAATTGATGATAATGAGTGCTTGGTTGTTGGTCAGAAAGCAGTTGCTTGATACATTGTTCTGCTGAGAGGAAACATAGGAAACCAGATTGAAACGTTTGAAAAATCTGTAACTTGGTAATATGCTGATTTGTTCTTTCACCAAATCCCGTCACAAGAAATCTTTTGGTGCCACAAAGAAGAAAAAGAATATCTTCAAATTTGTAATTGACCATCAAATTATCTCTGTGGACTGTGGCTTGTAAACAATGGGTATGTTGGACAAAAGTCTTAAGGTTCATCTAGTTGAGCCCTCGCTCCTCTTAAATAAGAACCAAAAATAGAAGTAGAACTAGTCCGCTAATGTCAGATGTTCTTCCAGAAACCCCTTTTTTGATGTGTCATTGACGGTAAGGTTTTTGCTATATCCAAAAGGTGTGGCTTAGTGGTCAATGAAGTGGGTGGAGAACCATGGGGTCTTGGGTTTAAATCTCAGCGGTGACAAAACAATCAGTGATTTCTTCCGATTTGCCCAAGCCTTTGTGGTGCAGTACCTATTCTGGTTGGGGTAGTAGGTATGTGGTGGACTAATCGAGGTACTCACAAGCTAGCCTGGACAGCACTGTCATAATTTCTTTTTTTTGGTTGCTGTTTTTGATATGTTGAGGTGGCTTTCAATAAAACTCCCCCCTGATCAATTTAAGCACAAAGGGGACTATGCTCTCTAGACTTCAGTGTCAAATTTTGGACCATTTCAACCATAAAGACAACTATGTCGAAAATCTCTTAATTTCTATTGGAATGGGAACACAATCCTTACTAAAAAAGGACTTCGGGAACCTATTGCATGATTTTAGTAGGTAGGCATTGTGCCTACTTTTGTTTATAGAAAAAGTCTTGAATTACCTCATTTACTTGATTGTTTTACTATAGTCTAATGAAAACTAGAAAAAAAGGAAATGAGAAAAGTGAACATAAGAAATCATATTAGGGCTTACGGCATACAGCTTGAAATAAATGGAAACCCGATTTCTTGGATCGGCAGTTGGTCCCGACTCGCCATTTGTCTGTAGAATTATCACCGATAGATAATTAAGATGGTAACTAAAGATGTGCGGGGGCAGAATTTCTGTAACTTGCCAGCGTGCAAATTGCTGGCTGTAAAGAGATTTCTACCATTGAAAGGCCCCAACATTTTATGACATTTCATGGATGTTTGGAGGGAACCAAAATTAGAAAAGATGCTAACCTACTGCAGTTGCCATGTAATAGGTTAGTAAAACCTGTCAAAAGGAGCTCTCGAGGTGGGAAGACATAATATAAGTAGGTGCTTCAGTGGGAAGAAACGTTAGCTGCACTATTGGTCTCTATCTATGAACTGGAAAAGCAAATGCTTGAGCTTGTGCTAGGAGGGAAGCTAAGAGATGTTTCATTTCATTGCAGGTACCCAACACAATTGAATTTGCAGACTGGATTGGTCGTACAAAACAAAAGCAAATTCGTGTTACTGGGTTAGTCGTGCTTTATTTAAATTATCATTCAAAAAAATGAAGTTACATGGCTTTGTTTCTTGAAGTTCTCTGGGACCTACTATGATTCAGGAAACAAGATAGGAGCTTTTATCATAAAAATATACTCTCTCTATTCCATATTAATTGAATTTTCGAGGCATTTTCCATTTTTCGAATTAACTTAATTGCTCAATCTTCAAGACTATTTTTAAAATATTCTTCCAATTTTACCCTTCATTTGGATTTTCAATGTGATGACTTCTATACATTGGACAATAATTAATAAGGGTAAAAATGAAAAACTATGTTCAATTTATGTCTTAATGTACTTTTCTTAAAGGGTGTGAAACACCTCAAAAGTTCAATTAATATGGAATGGAGGGAGTATCTATAGAGTGCTTGCTTGATCTGGTTTCCTTTTTTCTTTTGTGGCCTTCTCTATCAGGACGACCAAAAGACCTGTCCCTTTGGAACATTGTCTCTTCTATTCTGGGGAGCTTTACAAAGTGTGTGAGAATGAAGAGTTTCTGCCTCATGGATTTAGAGCAGCCAAAGATGTACATAAGAAGAAGACCACAAGTTCTGTCTCTGGCGGCGCCGGCTTGCGTCCTGGGTCTTCAACAGCTGCTGATAAGGGTCGAGGGCAGAGGCGTGATAGCTCTTCTCAGGCAAAGCAGCACAAGCATTCTGGTCCCCAAAGATTGGGGAATTTTGGTGGTGGTTGGGGAACGCAAAGCACTGGGCCTGGACAGAATGTTATGGGGTTTAGGAGATCAGAGGCGTCTTTGTGGTTGACGCTGATTAATAAACTCTTGAAGAAATCACTGTTACCTGTATGTAAAAAGATTCTTTTTAAAACATGCATGGTTCCTTGTATATCTTCCTTCCACCGCGTGCTTATAGTGTAGTTAGCATTGCTGTTAGTATTTTATCTCTTGATAACTTGTCTGCTGTGTTTTTCTTTTCCTCTTTTAAAATTTTTAACAGTACTGTTTTTCGTTTCTTATCATGTATTAAAACCTAATATTTATCATGAAATTGTAATTTCAGGTGGTTATATTTTGTTTTTCGAAGAATCGATGTGACAAATCAGCTGATAACATCCCTGGTACCGATCTCACAAGTAGCTCTGAGAAAAGTGAAATTAGGATATTCTGTGATAAAGCATTTTCGCGGCTTAAGGGATCCGACAGAAACTTACCGCAGGTGTCCTACCTAATTTGCTGCATTTGTTAATCTAGCTGACCATCTGGTTCTTGGTGTCCTGCTAATTGCAGAACAGTGTCTTATTGATGGTCATCTAAACTACAGATTGTCAGAATTCAAAGCCTTCTCCACAGGGGCATTGCTGTGCATCATGCAGGGCTCCTCCCAATTGTCAAGGAAGTTGTAGAAATGCTTTTTTGTCGAGGTTTGGTTAAGGTAATATAACATGCCATCTTTTATAAGGGAAAGGGCACATTGTTCCACAGAAATGCCCATATTGTTAGGACGTTAGAACAACATACCTAGTAAATCCCACCAAGTGGGGGCTCTGAGGAGGGTAGAGTGTACGCAGACCTTACCACTACCTCGTGGAGGTTGCACATTGTTAGGATCTTACCATATTTAATTTCAGATATTATTCCGCATTAAGCATGCAAGAGGCATATAATTTTATGCTAGAGCACTTGTTAGTGTACACAAAGACATGCTCATATACTTCATTAGATACACAGACATACAGAATAAAGTTAGAGACTCAATCAAAATTAGTGGAAGTTAGTTTAAGATATTTGAAAATTACGTTACTACTTACTATTACATTGCCAAGTAACTACACGCCTGTGGTGGGTGGTTCGTAACTGGTTTGGAGTACATTGGTTATGTTGAGAACAATAAAGGAGGCAATGTTTAGCTGGCTTTCTGAAGATGGAGGAGAAAACCTAAATGTAGTTCGACTTGCAATCAAGTGGGTAATTTGGAGAAAGAGGAATGGGAGGGTTGAGAACATATTTGTACATGTGAGGAGTAACCTCTGGTCACTAGTTTCTTTTTGTTTTATCCATGAGAGCCCCTGTTTGTGATAATTATTTGGTGACCTTTGTAGAGACATTTTGGTTAATGTTTCTCCTCTTTTAGGTATACATACTTAAAATGCAATGTTTCCCTTCTATAAATAAAATTATTTAACCTTTAAAAGAGAAAAAATAAAGCAATTAGCATTTGGTCATGTTTGTATATACTAGCACTGATAGTATATCCTAGTAGGAAATTATACTAAAATAACTTCTTAAGATCTGGGAAGAGTCTACTAGCTTTGGATCCAATTAAGAAATTTTGGACCCCGTGATTCTTGTTTTTGAAGTATGACTCGTGGTCAATGTTATGTTCTTTTCAAGTGAAAGATTAACTAAATAAATAAAGGGAAAACAGTTGTGATGAAATAAATTATCAGTCAAGTGGTGAAATCCTTGAACAAAGTTGAACGTTGTGCTAGTCATTTTCATGTTATCTACTTTTACCACTGCTGCTGAGTTTTCTTTTCCTCTAGCCATTCGCGACCCATTTGTTATCAAAGTTCCTATCCTTTGGTGAGTTTTACTTTTGAAGGTCTTAGATGCTCATTTAATTCTTGGTTCTTTCTTAGGTTCTGTTCTCGACAGAGACTTTTGCAATGGGAGTTAATGCTCCAGCCAGGACGGTAAGTCATCATTTGTAGTGATCTTGTTACTTTGATTGCACTTATTTTCGTAGAACGTACTCACTCCATCCCATTTTATGTGGCGATATTTTATTGGGTACGGAGTTTACGAAAGAAACGAAGACTTGTGAAACTTGTGGTCTGGAACAAATCAAGGACATTTATGTGACTATAAATAATTTCATTGGTAAAATGGAAAGTGTAAAGTTAAGCTTATTCTAAACACAAAAAGATGTTATTCTTTTTGGTATAGGCCAAAAAGGTAAGTCTGCCACATAAATTGGGATATTAGGAATAAAAAGTTTACTCTTTTTATGATAAAGAGTCCTTTTCATATGATTCATACCATGTCCGACTCTTGAGTAACTGAGGATAGTGATCATGTTTCCATTTAATTGTTGTAGAATGGTTTTGCTATTTATTCATTGTTAATAGTTGAAGGCTGAGAACGTTTTTTAAGAACTTTACTCCCAGTTAAGAATGAGCTGGGAGTTAAAGAACTTAAAAAACGGATATCATGGAGTAAAGCAGAAAATGTAGAGGAAAGCACATAAATTTCTGGAACGCGTTTCAATCAAGTTCGCCAGTAGCACAAAATATGCACATGTTTTATGAAGAAAAGACCACATAGGAAGTCATATGTTAATGACAATCTCATGAGTTATAGTCTAAGATTTGATGGGTATCTTCAAGAATTTTTTCTGTGGAATTGACTATCCATTGGTTCCCAATGGATGACTCATCTTGAAGGGGTGAATTTCTTGAAGTTTAATTTGACTATTAATTTGAGTAATTATTTGTTTGTAGAGGTATCAGAGAGAAAACTTATCCATAACTTGAATTATCTAATGTTGTCCATATTCTAGATATCCAGTTCCGGGTATGCGGTGTGTGTGTGTGTGTGTTAAGTGTCCCACATTGGTGGAGGGACTGAGCTGTTATCTCTGTATATTAAAGAAAATCATTCTTGTTGAAATTTTGAATTTTCAGTACCAAACATGAAAATATTTTTTATATAGTTTTTTGTAAGGTTTGCTTTCTGGTTCTGGTCATTGCGTATTTTCCTTGATGTTCAAACTTCCTATGCTCTCTAATTCCTTGATGACATGTGGCATATTATTGCTGAGTACCATCTTAGATTGCATAATTTCTTATTAGTTTAATATTTGATATGTGGGCTGTCGACCTTTTGGCTAAGATCAGGGTAGTATCTATTCTTATAAGTTTAATATCTAATATGTGGGCTATCAGCACACACAATGTTAATTCAATTTTTTTAAGGGGAGCATCCATCAGGGTAGCTTGCTACCTGGGCTCTTGTGTGTTGCTCAATAGGTAAACAACTTAAGTGGTGACACTCATAAGCTAAACAACTACAGTGGTGGAATTGTCAAGATGACAATACTTGCTATAAAATATTGATTTCTCTTGTAGTACCTCCCAAACCTCTAAGATTACTATTTGTATCGAAGGAAGTATTGGTTACTTCCAACCCTATGTGCTTTCTCCCTTTATCCAATTTAATTGTCGCATTTCCATGGGCAGCAAATGATCAGATATAAATATTAGTTGTTAGTACAGAAAATTTACATTGTGATTGGGTCTAAAGTATAATTGACCACTTCACATTAAATTTTTAAAGTATAATGAATCCAACTTACCTTCTATATCTTTTTTCTGTAATATATTAGTTATTAGAAAATGGTATCGTGAGGAGAGAAGGTCAAGAACAGTTTGAGCTGTTCACTTCTTATGTGGGATCAATTGATCTCACTCAAAGGACTATTGCTAAAAGGTTTCCTCAGTTCATTATCTGATAATGTATTGATCAAATTTTGAATTTTCAGTACCAAACATGGCAATCCTTAATATAGCTTTTGGTGGGTTTGCTTTCTGTATTATGGTCATTCCCGACTTATAATTTTTTACCTGCTTATTTTCCTTGATGTTCAAATTTCTTGTGCTCTCTTATTCCTTGACGACATGTGGCATATTATTGCAGACTGCAGAGTACCATCTTAGATTGCAGAATTTCTTTAGTTTCCCAGTTGATATTTGCTATTAATTATTTAAGGATCTCATATCTCTCTATTCAAATATGCTATTGCTATAAAGTTAAAAATGTATTAAATTTTGGCCAGGTTGTTTTTGATTCTTTAAGAAAGTTTGATGGCAAGGAATTTAGGCAGCTACTTCCCGGAGAGTACACTCAGATGGCTGGGCGTGCTGGAAGGAGAGGACTTGATAAGACTGGTACAGTTGTGGTGATGTGCCGAGATGAGATCCCTTTTGAAAATGATTTGAAGCATGTAATAGTTGGTACTGCGACTAGGCTTGAATCTCAGTTTCGACTGACCTACATCATGATTTTGCATCTACTTCGGGTTGAAGAACTGAAGGTACATAGTTTTGACTAACTAGGAAAGAAGAGAAAATAGCTTGATTTCAAAATAGACCTATACCCAACATCTAATTCAAAATTCAGTTTCTGGCAGTTCATTTTTCCTTGCAATTTAGTTTTATATGATTTTAGAGCTAATCGGTTCTTGCTGCATCACTACCATTCTCATTTGTCTCTCCTTGAGCTAGTATGTAGTAGCGAGTTGAAGTATTTTCAAGTATCTTTATTCACCTCCAAAACATTGTTTAAGATAGCAGATAAAGTTCATGGTTATTGAATACATACAATAAGTCTAAAAGTTTCAAGCATCCTCAGGAAATTCAATGTTTCTTCTTCTTTTTTCTTACATTAACTACTTTAGAAGTACTGCATATACTGCTGACACAACCTTTTCTTTTTTCTTTTGCAAAATACAGCTGATTTGCTCAACATCATTATTGAGCAACGGCGTATTGCCATTACATCTCTAACTCATAATTTTAGAGTAATGGCGCGTGTTAGTAATATGATTCATGTTAATGATGTGTTCCATTTCACGGATTGATGTTCATTCTCAGTGCATAGTTAATTCATCCCAGCAGATTTCTCCCGATGAAGTACAGTTCCATAATTTTTGCAGGTTGAGGACATGCTGAAAAGAAGTTTTGCTGAATTTCATGCTCAGAAAAAACTACCTGAGCAACAACAACTCTTGATGCGAAAGCTTGCTCAGCCTACAAAATCTGTTGAGTAAGAATTACTAAAACAGTTACACTATGAGTTTTCTACCATAATTGTCTTTCTGGATTCATTTTTCGACATGTATTTGTCACACCTTAAAACACTTATATGTGCTTTTTTTGTGTGCATGTGCTTCAGTGCTTTGATATTGTGTAGATTTTCCCAAGCTTATTCTTCTGTACTTTTTTTTTTATTGGAACTGGTAATGACTTTACAAAATCTCAACCTAGCTTAGGTTACTGCTTCACAAGGATCCAATCATATCAACTAGTGATTCAACCTCCTCAGCATAGCTTTTTACACCAAAAATAAAACAAGAACATACAACTCATCTTGATTTTCTGCACAAAATTGTATGTCTTTAAAAGCTTATAGTTCCTCTCCTTCCAAATGGTCCACCGTATGCAAGCAGGGTAAGTCTCCAGCATTTTTTCTGACTCACTGCCCATTTCTTTTTATTCTTTTGTACTTCCTGGTATTGTTTAACATGTCCCCCCTCTCTCTCACACACACTCATGCAGATGCACTCTCTCTCTCTCTCTCTCTCTCTCTCTCTTCACACACACGCGCGCGCGCACACACACAAGAGAGAGAAGCACAGACACCAATGGTCTTGAGAATCCTGTTTTTTGGTAGTGCTTTTAATTGCTAAATTCTATAAGGCCTGTCTGGTCTATGAAATACTTGCTTCTGTGAAGCCTATTATAGCTTCTAAATGCCACCTTCTGTGGATGACTCTTGCATCATTTCTGATATTTATTTGCATAGTGGTAAGTACAATTTGTCTGATATAGATGCATAAAGGGTGAACCAGCAATTGAGGAATACTATGACATGTATTTGGAGGCAGAGAAATATAGCCACCAAATAGCAGAAGCAGTAATGCAGTCGCCAGCTTCTCAGCAGTACCTTAGTCTTGGGAGAGCAGTGGTTGTAAAATCACAATCAGTAAGTTCTATTACATTCTTTTCACTAAATAGGCATTAGGCAGTACCCTCTTTTCATCTTTAAGGTCAAAAGATTGTCAGCTATCTGGCATGCAATAACAATAATAATAACTATGCATCGATTCCAAAGTAGTTGCATCTGTATATCAAAGCATTATTCTACTTGCACATGTTCCATTCTAATTCTCGACAATCTTTCTTCTGAGACACAGTATAGTTGAGCTATCTGGTATGATTTGGAAATTTACAAGGCCAAGTTATTTAGTTCCATGATCTAGTCCTCTGCAACAGAAAGTCACATCATAATCTTCAGTATGCAGAAACAAATGACATTTTGATGATATATCATTTAAATGTAACCAAATATGGTATTATTAATAAACCAGCAAATAAACATATGGTTCAAAGTATTCCCTGCAGTAGGTCAACGTCTCTTAATGATTTTTCAATGGTAAAAATGGCTGAAGGTTGATAATCTGGATGATTTAACTGGGCATCCTAGAATAGAAACTTCTGCAGTTTGAGAACACTTGTTTTAGAAACTGAAAGTGTTCCTTTTACTTTTGCGGTTTGTTCTGATCACTCTTCATTTTAGGAGTATCATAATCCTGTCTACTTTTGCCCATCTCATGAGGTTACTTGGATATTGGAACTATATGAGTCCAAAACATGTGCAAATGTTTCTTTCCCTTTACTACTTGCAGGCTCAAGATCACTTACTAGGCGTTGTGGTGAAGACACCTTCCTCTAACAACAGACAATATATAGTTCTAGTTCTGACTCCAGAATTGCCTTCAACTCTGGAAACTTCGTCAGATAGAAGCAACAGGAAAGATCAAAAAAATTCTGAAATGCAGATACTATTGCCTAAATCAAGACGGGGTTATGATGATGAGTATTGTTCGTCAGTCACCTCCCGGAAGGGATCTGGCGCTGTCAACATCAAATTGCCTCACCGCGGTAATGCTGCCGGCATGAATTATGAGGTTCGAGGAGTTGATAACAAGGATTTCTTGTATATATGTGTGAAAAAGATTAAGATCGACCAAGTTCGGCTTCTTGAAGATGTTAGTGCTGGGGCCTACTCTAACGCAATACAACAGCTGCTCAGTTTGAAATCTGAAGGAAATAAGTATCCTCCAGCCTTAGATCCGGTTAAAGGTATGTCAGTATTACTTATATGGTTATCTGTACCTGCCATTTATATCCCGCCTGATTCTTGGCTCCCATCCTTAAACTTTATAGTTTATACTGCAGATCAATCCCTGTACTTCCTTTGAACCCCTAGTTTTGGTAGATAAATAGAAGAGTTACATAACTCACCCATAGTTCATCATCATCCTTCCTGGTTTCTGGTTCTTGTGGAATCAATTCCAGTTGCATGTTATCTTGTACCCCAAAATATCTTCCTCTGGTTCAGCAATTGCGATTGGAGTGACATAAATAGTATTCTCCAGCAGTGGATAAATTATCCCTTCTTGCATCGGGTCTGAGTTGTGCCTCTGCATTCTCTTTAACATCAATTCTTGGCTGGAGCGAGACCCGTAGAGAAGGATCAGATTCTACAATGAAGGTCTTAAAAGATGGGTTGACCATCTCCATGTTTTGAAAAGGTCCTGGACCAATTCCTATTAATTCTGTCAAGTTTGGCTTGTGAACTTGGGTCAGCCCACCTCAGATAAAATAGCATCTTCCAGATTCTCCATTAATTTCTTCCCATGTGTTGAGACATGCACACTTGGTTTGAACTTTATAAGACCCCCACCCAATATAGGATCTGCCATATCGTCTAGCCCTAGACCCAGGCTATTACCGATGCCAGCCTTTGAGCCCCCTGCGACTGTCTGTAAGTCGCCGAAGGCTGATTCTTTTCAGACTGTCTTTTCAAATGGGGATGGGATAGAAAAGACCCTCCCAATTAATGTTGATGTGACTAGGTATTCACTCCTTGTCTCCTTTGACTCACATGTGAGCACATCGCAGATGATTTTTGAGCTCGGTTTCTTCGTTTTCGATTCACCCTCTGCATCTTTCTTGATTTCTTTCATCATCTCCTTTTTCCCAAGCTTTAGAGGGAGGCCCAATATTCTAATCCAAGTTCTGGTGTATCACCAATTCTCCGTCACGCAACCAGATGCCGTAGACCACCATGGCAGATGTAGTGCTTTCCTTTCCCACTCCAGTCCCCTGTAAGAGTGTGCTCCACCATGATCAGTCAGGAACTCAAAGAGAAAATGATGGTCACACATTTCGAATACCTCTACATAGCTGCCCCATTTTCTGTTTGCCCATATGCACATGTCTGTATGGTTTGGGATCTCCTGACCGTCGAAATGGCCCAGCCAGCATCTTCCCAGAATCTCTTTATCTCTGATTCCTCCAATCCGTTTGCTTTTATGGAGTTCCTCCATTGAGAAAGTGCCAGATCTCACTGTCCATCTTTTCTGTTAGTGCCTTCAGCATGCGAAGAATTCAATTATTGGGGAGATGTGATTGTTGTAATCTTGTTTTTATCTGAATATAATTTTCAATTTTATCTGCTGGCTTGTCTCAACCAGCATTGAATGCTGATTCTGGAATAATAAAAATAACGGACCTTTTGCTCCCATGTACTGCGACAATGGAAACAAATCTGCCGAAAGCACTGAACTTCTTTGTACAGAAATAAACGGCTCGATGGTCCCTAGCTTTCCACCTCCTGACTTCATTACCTCTGACCTCAGAAGCCTTGTGCAATAAATATCAAATCCACGACACAACTTTCCATCTGATTGTCATCCTTCTAAGCAAGTTATCTGTAGTTTCCCTCCATTCAAACCATGTTTTCTGACAAGCTGACATTCTTTGTGATATTGGCTGACTTGTCTTCAGCCATAATATTACTCTTCTTGACCATGTTTCTAGTCAATAAAGGATGCTTGAAGGAAAACACGGCTAACAAGGTTTCCGTTGGTCCTGGAGAAAGAACCTGTTGACTTACTAGTCCAGTGTTCGCATTGTCTCTAAAGTTTTGAACTTTTTGTAGTGAATATATGGCAATGACTGTCAGTAAGATTCTCCACATTTCATTCTCTAATGAAGATTCTATGCCAGATCTGAAGTTGAAGGACATGAATCTTGTGGAAGCATACTACAAATGGAATAATCTCTTGCAGAAAATGGCACAGAATAAGTGTCATGGTTGTATTAAATTGGATGAGCACATGAAATTGGCTAAAGAATTAGAGCTGCACCGAGCGGAAGTGAATGCTTTGAGGTTTGAAATGTCAGATGAGGCACTTCAGCAAATGCCAGATTTTCAGGGTCGGGTATGGAACCACATTATCATAACAATTTGGTTTCCCTTTTCATGCCAATCAGTTCTTGCAAAGGAAGAGTTCATAAACATCCCCTTTTACACTATTTGCAGATAGATGTGTTAAAAGAAATTGGCTGCATAGATGCTGATCTTGTAGTTCAAATCAAAGGTCGTGTTGCTTGCGAAATGAATTCCGTAGAGGAGCTGATATGCACAGAATGTTTATTTGAGAATCAGCTTGATGACCTGGAGCCAGAAGAGGCAGTGGCGATCATGTCTTCCTTTGTGTTTCAGCAAAAGGAGACTTCTGAATCTTTCCTCACGCCAAAGCTTTCTCAGGCTAAAAAGAGGTTATTTTCTTCTCAAATATTTGGTGTGATATGCTCATGTTGACGTGTTGTCATTTTTCCTGTTCATCTATGATATATATATATTCAATTGTTTTTGGTATTTTTGGATAAAAGTTTTTATTGAAGATTTTTGATAAGATTTTGTGTTTGCGGTGTCTGAGTTTTTGAGGGATCAAACCTGTATATCAGCCATGTATATTTCTTGTAATGTTTCTTTAATGGATGGGCTTAAAAGACTGTGAAGACTTCTCCTCGTTATACATTAGGTTTAATGATAGAGAACTCATCAAAATTAATTGATGAGATGATTGGAATATGATATCTATAAAAGATGTACTTTCCTTTTTATCACTGCTTTGTTGGACAATTTAGGATTCTAACTTGGTATTTATATCTAGGATGGAATAAAATACATCATTCTTGTTTTTTATGAGAACAGAACATATCATGTTAAATGTATTCTCATGTTTCACAGAATTGCATATGCAAGTTGTACGGGATGCTAGTTACTAACTTGGGTGTATCTCAATAATTGGATTATAATATATCACATTTTTCACGGAATTGCACATCACAAGGTCACAGATCAAAGAGCTATGACACCTTTTCTTGATATAATAAAGTGGGTGCTGTGAAAGTAGAGATAAGAGTAAATGTGTGGTAAGCAATTTTTGTTTAGTGTCCCACGTTGATGGTGGAAATGGGCTGTTGTTTCTTATATGGTTTTGGGAAATCCTCATTGCATGAATTAACTTTTGGGGTTTAGTTAGGCCAAAGGTCCATTTCTCGTCATGGTATTAAAGCCAGACCTGTTCCTGTTCTTGGTTCACTCAGCATTGGGCCCCACTGTTTGTTGTTCGCTCTCCAATTATCCAGTCCTGAGCGTGTGAGTAATGTTAAATGTTCCACATTGGTGGTGAAAATGTGTTGTTGTCTCCTTATATGGTCCTGTGCGATTCTTACTTCATGAGTTTTGGAGTTGATTTAGGCTCAAGACTCATTTCTTATCAAGTTGTTTCTTCTTTATTATAGTGAATACACTTTTTAGAGGGAAACGAATTTTCTGGCCAGCTGCTAATTCTCTTATATTGTCAGTGTGTACTCTGCTTTTCCTTTATTGAAAGATTTTTTGAAAATGGGATTTGGTCAGATTTACGAATCAAGCATGTAGTGGTCTAAGACCTGGTTGCTGCTTTTGGGTCTTTCTCTGAATGCACAACTGCTAGTGGGATGTCTTTTGACTGCAAAATATCCAAATTTCCTTCTGTCAAAAAGTTACTGAACAACAGAGAATAGAGTTTTACACACTTCAGATCTTCCACAGAACATTTCTGTCAGTATTTGTGCCAACAAAGGCTGTTACTGTTTAAACGGTGTATGGCCAATTGGCTCTCTTTTACTTCTGAAGTCATGTCATCTCCTCCTTGCACTTGTCAATGTTGTCTACTTGTTTTTATTTGACTAGTGCAACTGTAGTTGTTGATTACGGTAATTTCATTCTTATAACTTCATTTGTACTTTTTCTTATTGTTTCAAGTCATTCTGATGTATTCTGTAGGTATTTTCTCATTAATTACCATGAGCTGTAACTTAACCCTGTTCTTTGATATTATAGTTTTTCTTTTTACTTTGTTCTCAATGACAATATCATTCTCGTGGCATTTCAGATTACATGAAACTGCAATAAGACTTGGGGAGCTTCAGGCTCAGTTTAAGCTGCCGATTGACCCAAAGGAGTATGCCCAAGAGAACCTTAAGTTTGGTTTGGTTGAAGTGGTATATGAATGGGCAAAGGTTCTCTCTCTCTCTCACTCACACACGCACACAAAAAAAATTAAGGATTTGCATGTGTGGTTGCGTATGACTTAATTATCATAATATCCTACCTGTTGCTTGATTCTTCCGTTCTTGAGTGTGGGGTGTCTCTAATTCTGCTTCCGTCTTGCAGGGGACCCCATTTGCTGAGATATGTGAACTCACAGATGTCCCTGAAGGTGTTATAGTGAGGACTATTGTTAGATTAGACGAGACTTGTCGTGAATTTAGAAATGCTGCTGCAATTATGGGCAACTCTGCACTGTACAAGAAAATGGAAACTGCATCTAATGTGATCAAGCGCGATATCGTGTTTGCAGCTAGCTTATATATTACCGGAGTTTGATTAGGTCCGGAAGCCTTGATTTCATTTGCAATTCTAAAGGACCTGACGATACACATGTTGTACACTAGAATATGTTCGCCAAGGTGTGGACTTTGAGCAAGGCTACCCTACAATTTGGCTAATTTGTACAGAAATTCAAGTCTTTCAAATGTACATTTAGCAATCGACAGTAGATTACACCATGATTAGCACAGAGAGATACATAAACTTAAAGGATTTACTGTATGACATTCTCTTAAAATTTAGGTATGATTTTGAAGTTCTGCATCTATGTGTTTTGTCTTAAAGTTGTTACACAAGACCTTGAGTTGTTGTTTATCTCTTTTGAATGTGATTAAGCAAGCTGTTGATCTGGTCATCTTTTTATTTCTCTTTGGGTGACAAAGAAGGTAACGAAGTGTTCCCTCAATGTGGGTAGCAATAGAACAACAACTAAAACACAATTAAGAAGGATTTAAGATTTCACACAGGAAGAAAAGGATATCCTTTATAATGCTATTTTTCGTTCACAACAGTTTAAATTCGAGACCTCTGGTTAATGGTTTAGGTTATTCGAACCATTCCATCACACCCCCTTAGCTGATATTTGGCTAATATAAATTCTTCATTAAAATCGTTTGAAATAATTCATATAGCATGTTATTCAAATACAACCAAACAAAAGAGACACAAGTTGAAGCCAAGCTTCACAGAAATACAAAATAAGCAGATACTGTCTTTATCAAAGACTCAATTTCAGTTATCACTTCTGTGTGGTTTTCCTGAGATAAAATTAACCTGATCCACCAAAAATGACAGACAATTAGACATTAATTTTGAGAATTACAATAACCAAAGAAATAAAATAAAACAGTTTGGGTTGACATATTACACAAGAATTCCAAGTGGCAATACATGTGGAAATCAATTTGAGTGAATAAAATAACCCCCAACCCCCTCCCTAAAACTATTTTTGTCTTTCGAGTTTCAAACCTAAACTATCAGGTGTTCACCATGAACTCATTGTGTCATGTGAGATCACTTCTAAGACTTTTTCATCTCACGCGCCTCTCAACAAGTTATCGCAAACATTTAGTCACATATACAAAAAGTTTCATTTGGTCATACCTCATCAACAGCAGAAGGAATCCAATCATTAGTAGCTGGATTCCCCTTGTAAACATGGCTTGGATCAGTAGTATAATCAGCTCCTATATTAAAAGTGTTCTCATTATTCTCCACTTTGATAAATCCTGTTCCTGTCTGCATTTTCCCACAAAAAAAAAGTTCATCAACCTTATTTTTTAAACCAAAAGCTACATTGCTCTTGGATCCAATAAAAATACAGCCACGAGCATGTCAGATCCTCCGAAATTACATTATTTTTAGAGAACCCGAGCAACATAGACACTAAAAGAACACAATCAAACCTCTCTGTAACATCCATCCTCAATAACAACATTTCACTCTAACAACTAAGTTTTCTTCAGAACCGAGTTTTCACATTACATTATAATACATGTTGAGTTAATGGTAAAAAAGCACACACAAAACATCATTTTTTCGCGTGTTTCACACCTCAAATATCTATTCTTCTATTTACCTACCTAATCTATCAATTTCTCGCGAGTTTCACATCTCAACCGTGTATCATTACCTTTGTATTAAAACATATCTCGATGCTGAGTTGGCCTACACATGCCTATCGTTGATTGTGGACAAATATTTGGCCAACTCAGAATTGATGTGTGCTTTAATACAAAAAAAAGTGATAGTTTAGATAAAGAGAACAATGATAGTTGGCGTATGAAACCGCGAAAAAGTGTGTAAGTGTATTTTTTTACTATTAACTCTTTTATGCTCTTTATAACAACATGTTTAGTTTAGCAACCAAAAAATATACAGACAAACGATGTCGTCATAGAGAGGTTCGACTGTAATTGGATTTTTTAGGTAATAAGAGTGTTATAAGAGTGAGTGAGAGTAGTAACCGTGTGATGCTGCTTGTCAATGCAATTAAGATCTTTGTAATATTCTGTTTCAATAAATTCCTCTGTCACTTGGCTGCCATTGTAAACCAATTTCTGCAAAACCAAAACCAAAAGATATATGAATCTGATTGACATTAATGTGATTTATAATTCGCGACTATGTTACTTAGACCCTCCAAAATGTTTCCGTTTCCGTGTCAAATCCTTCAAAAATACATACATTTTGTAGGATTCGACACACACCTGGCGATGTTTTTGGAAGAATCCAACCAAACATAGATACCAAAGTCTTTTACATAATGGTTCCTGTTTACTATCACATCATATAGTCCGGTCCCCAACCCCGTCCCCCGTTTTCTTCCTTATGAGTAAATCGGAACATAGTTCATAGGTACTCTTTGATACATCGAGAAAAAAAATTGTGCATGACTCAACACTTAAAGCGAAGTGCTATCTCTGAGCCATTGGATCAACAAAAGTGTGATTCAAATGGATCAACTACACTTCAATTCCAAGCTAGTAAAAGTCATTGTTAAGTGGCTAAGACCACAAATATTTTGATTAAATCAGCGAGAAAAGAATAAAATAGTAATGTTTTAATATGAAAAAAGGGCATGTACAAGTACTACACTTTTAACTAAACTTAAGTCCTATTACCTCTGTACTCATTTTATTTTTGTAATTTTATACTCCTTTTAACTTACTTGGTATACTCCGTGACTTCACGCAGTTGAGACACATGAGAGATATTTGAATACCACGTAAGACAAAAAGGTGTACAAAAATACAAAAAAACAAGTTCATCATAATATGATCTTAGTTTAGTTAAGATATGTTTTTGGGATTTCGGGTATAGTCTAAGGCTAATTGCACCTTATCCCTATGAAAAACTTATGAAGTTTCTCACTATTTTGGTGGGAAGTAGTTCCTGTATCACTAGAAATTGTAAATCTAAATTTTCTACTGATATATTATTCACTAACAAGGAGAAACCCCAAAAGTGAAAAATGAGGGGTGGGGGTGGGGGGTGGGGGGGAGCTTAATTAACATGAAAATCATTTTCAAGGCATAGTTAAGAGTTGGACAAAATTCATTAACTTTAGCTCAAACATCATATGTGTATATCTAATATGTACAAATAATCTACTCGGAACCTACTAATACAAAAACTATTATGATTCAATGCTTGGCATGGAGTTTAAATATATTAATAGTTCAAATCCTGAATCCGCCTCTACTGATTAAAACAAAACAGACATATGCAGAGAAGGAGGTAGACCTGAGGATCATTTTCGAGACGTTGGAATTCGAGATTTTCGGGAATTGTGTCATGAGAAGAAGGGTAGAGATTGATGTGATCAACATAAGTTGAAGAATAATCACTTCTTTGAGGTTTAGTGTGTCTTTTTGGTGCAATGCCATCAAAATACTCTCTTGTTTCCTCTTCTATCTTTGTTTCTTCCTCTTTTGATAAATGAACATCACTTCTATTTGGTCTAATATTTCCATTCACTTCCATTTTCTTCTTCTTCTTCTTGTAAAAAATCTTGAAAAAAAAAGAGGGTAATATTATTTGTTTGATGTTAGTTGAAGGGGTTCATCAATGTAATAATATCATGTGCTACAAATGTTGTAAAGTAGTTAGATATCTTTTGGGGTAGATATTTTTTCCTTCAAAGATATTTTGAGAGTTTTGGAAGTTGGTGGTAGGTAGGTTACTTTTGTATATACATCTTCATTTTTACAAGTAAGAGATATGAAAATAACAAATGATATTTTTAATGTTTGAATTATTAAGTGGTTATACAAGATTTTATTTTATACATAGCAGATTTGAAAATAATATATACGAGTTTTGAAAAGATTATTTTGTTCTATTCAAATGGTTAGTGGCCATATAAGACCATTTCATTCGAAGGAGTTGGTCATTATTTATGTTCCGTAAAAAAAATATTAGGTTAAAAAGAACCGAACGCCTAATGGGATTTTTTTGCATGAATTTATTGTATACTTAGATTAAAGTTATGCTTTGATATTCACTATACTTGATGTCATTATGATGAGTTTTTACATATAAATTTATAGTACGTGTCAAAAGTAATAAGTTTAGATGAATAGTATCGAAATGACAGATCCCCCATCCCTATCTTCTGTTTCAACTTATATTACTTTAGTTAAAGTGCGAAGGTCAAATTAACAAATTTTAGGGATGAATTTGAACATAAAGTGTTTTACAAAGTATTTGAAATTAACTTGGGTTAAAAATAAAATCTTTAACTTTCTAAATAGTAACAATGACATATAAAATGAAACAAAAGGAAATGTAGATTTAGGATTATGTTGATTTTGCACTTGGTATTATTTATATTAAATAGATATAAACACAGGATAGAAATAAATATTTTTCGCATTATATATATTTTTTTATGTTTGATAAATATCTTATGAACCTTATCCACTCATCAAAGAAGTTGTTGAGAGGTCTCTTTCAAGGGAAACAATCGAGTGGTTGTGTGAACTCCCACAAAAAATATGTACTCTAAAGATTTTTTAATAATTAAATCGATGCAGAGAACAAATAATATAATCTCATAGATGAAGTCTAAAGGAAATTATTTGTGCACAAATTTTACTTATATTATTTTTTGGCTAAATACATAAATAAATCCCTAAACTTGTGTTTTTTCCTTCGGGTACCCTAACTACGTCATTTTTCTATTGAATCATTGAATCACCCATAATTTGTTCCTTTAAAACACTGTTGGTTAATTTTGATCAGCTTTTCTATTGTAAATGCTTTTAATTGTGTTCGAATCGTAATAATTTTGATTGAAGGAATGAAAACAAACCGTGTTAGTCTCATTTGTTTTCTAATGTTTTCAAATGACTTAAGTAAAACACAATTATTCTCGAACATTTTCACTATCAATTGGACTAATGAGTTGTGGAACAACATATGTATCCTCTATCAATACCCCTCATAAATCTGGTTCCACATCAGACAACGGTGTTTGTTTAAAGGGAACAAATTATGAGAATTCAATGATTCAATAGGAAAGTGAATAAGTGTGTTCTTAACTTTGCTTTAGCTGTCAATTTATGCCCTTCAAATTTTGGTGTACACATACAAACAAACATTTAAATTTGTATAAAATTGAATAAATGAACACAATATTACACGTAGGATACTACAAACTATATTTTTTTCTCATATCAATTATAATCTTAAAATATCGATCAAAATTTATATCGTTTAATTCTCCAAAAAAAAAATTGTGACAAATATTTTAGAACAATGGGAGTAAGTTAGGAAAGAGAAATGGCCTCCAATATTGGGGAGAAAATTTGAATACATTTTGTCAAATTCCAAAGATATGAATAATCTGAATAAAACAAAAAAAAAAAAAAATTTACCTTACCCCCTTAAAATGAAAAAAGGGGTACATAAAACACATTATCTTTAAGAAATACTAGTATTTTATGTGCATATAATATACAGACACTTTTTGAATAGAGAGTAGCGTATCAATTTTGAACATGATCTAAGGCCACTAGAAATGTGTGCCTACTCAGGGAAGCGTTGCTCTTTGGAGAGTTATGAATCAATTGAGGGAAGAAGAGGGTACACAAATGCAAGACCTCAGAGTTATGAAATGATCGATAAAGTTTATTATAGTTGAATCGACATTTTGAGTTAGTTCATTCAGATATTTGTGGACCATGTCCTGTTGTTTCGATAGGTTATTTATCACTTTTGTCGATGATTCCATGATTTGTGCTTGAGAAAAAGCTCATGATCTGTGAACTTGTGAAACAACTCTTCAAAACTCAAAGAAGAATCCCATTTCTCTTAAAATCCTAACAATAAGTTCATCATCTGTTACTGGTGATACAACAACTTTGAGCGCATCAGGGAGTGAGCGAACTCATTTTAGGATTCGAACACAGAAATCAGAATCTCTAGTTGAAGATGAATACAGGTTAACAACTTTATTTGTTAGTTAAGTGGAGAAAAAGATCATGTTAATTGTTAGTCAAGCCAAGACAAGTCTTGACAAGATAAAGTTCAAAGGTGAAGGATAAAAAACTATGTTAAAACAATTTAACAACCCAAACTTTTTACAAAGTTTAACTAGTTGTTTTATCCAACTAATTAAATTGACCCCATTGACTAAAAGTCATTCCAATCTAAAAACAGTATATAGGTATACATTAATCTTTAAATATATCTTCTAAGATCATTACTATCAAGTACTCTTGTTATAGCTATGGGAAGAACTTGCAATCTTCTGTTTTCTCTTGCAGTTTTCATTACGCTTTATCGCCATACTTCTTCACTTGCTAATATTTCCACCGATGAAGCCGCTCTTCTTGCACTGAAATTTTCTTCCAGCCCGGTTTGCAGCTGGATTGGAATCACTTGTAGCTCCCGCCACCACCGAGTCACCGCTTTAAACATATCTAGCATGCAACTTCGTGGTACCATTTCTCCATGCCTTGGAAATCTCTCATTTCTTGTTTCCCTCAACATAAGTTACAATGCTCTCTATGGAGATCTACCAGTAGAGCTGGCTCGTTTGCAGAGGCTGAAATTTATAAGTGTCACAAATAATAACTTCACTGGAGCCATTTTATCATCTTTAAGTTTGTTACCGAATCTACGGGTTGCTTACCTTTCGATGAATCAATTTTCAGGAGAAATTCCTTCTTTCATTTCCAACATAACAAAGATGGAAGTGTTGAGTATGCAAAAGAATTTTCTACAAGGAGAGATCCCTCGAGAACTCGGTGATCTTTGCTACCTGACAATTTTAGATCTGCAATTTAATGAACTTAGTGGCTCTATACCAGTATCAATCTTCAACATTACAACTATGAAAAACATTGGTCTTACCTATAACAATCTCACTGATCAGCTTCCAACAACTATATGCGACCATCTTCCAAATTTGGAAGGGCTTTACCTCTCAAAAAACTACCTCGGGGGTGTTATTCCACCAAACATAGAAAAATGCAGAAAACTTCAAGTCTTGTCATTGAATTACAATGAGTTTACTGGAACTGTACCAAGAGAGCTAGCCAACTTAACAGCTCTTACAATATTATATATCGGAAGTCTTCATTTGGAAGGTAATACAACAATTTCTTACTAGAAAAACGAAAATGTTCTTCTGCAAAAGTGGTAACTCATATATTTACCTAAAATCAATGACAGGAGAGATACCAGTGGAGCTCGGTAATCTGAAGAAACTACAAGCACTAGGATTATCAGATAGTCGATTTAGTGGTTCTGTCCCTGCAAATATTTTCAACATGTCATCACTGCTGGTCCTAGATATTGCACATAACAAACTTTCAGGTACTCTACCATCAGATTTAGGTTGTGCAATGCCCAATATAGAAGTACTCATCTGCGGAGGAAATAATTTTAGTGGTTTTATCTCTCCTGCTATCTCAAATTCTTCAAGACTCAGAATACTTGAGCTCTCAGGCAATAGTTTCACAGGTCCGATTCCAGAATCACTTGGTAACTTAATGTACCTTGAGGTTCTGAGCTTGTGGGGAAGTAACTTTGTTAGTGATTCAACATTGAGCTTCCTCACATCATTGACAAAGTGTAGGAAGCTAAGATCACTCTGGTTTTATGGAAATCCATTGGATGGTGTCTTACCTGCATCAGTTGGTAATTTCTCAAACTCACTGAAAAATTTTGCAGGAAATGGTTGTAAATTAAAGGGCACCATTCCTCGAGAAATTGGTAATCTTACAGGAGTGATAAGCATAGCTCTGCAATACAACGAATTGACGGGACATATTCCAAATACTGTCCAAGGAATGTTGAGCCTTCAAGAACTTTACCTACAAAGAAACAAGATAGAAGGACGCATACCAGATGTTATGTGCGGTTTAAACAATCTTGGTGCATTAGACTTGTCAAGAAATCAGTTTTCTGGCTCAGTGCCACCATGCTTAGGGAGTGTTACTAGTTTGAGGACACTTTATCTAGCTTATAATAGGCTTAATTCAAGATTACCTGCAAGCTTGGGGGGGCTTCGTGATCTCATAGAATTAAATATTTCATCAAATTTATTGAGTGGGGAAATTCCCTTCGAGATTGGAAACTTGAAGGCTGCAACACTCATTGATCTGTCAAAAAATGATTTTTCTGGTAAAATTCCTAGCACGCTAGGGGGTCTAGATAACTTGATTAATCTTTCTTTGGCACATAATAGATTAGAGGGGTCTATTCCAGATTCATTTGGCAAAATGTTAGCATTAGAATTCTTGGATTTGTGCGATAACAATCTTAGTGGTGAAATTCCAAAGTCATTAGAAGCTCTTGTGTATCTCAAATACATGAATTTCTCATTCAATAAGCTCAGTGGAGAAATTCCTATTGGAGGTCCTTTTGCAAACATCACTAGCCAGTCCTTCCTATTCAATGATGCACTTTGTGGTGACTCTCGATTTAATGTAAAACCATGCCCAACCAAATCTACAAAGAAGTCAAGAAGAAAGCAAGTGCTTACAGGTTTATATATTCTATTAGGGATTGGATCACTCTTCACGTTGTCTGTTGGATTTGTGGTGTTAAGATTGAGAAACACAAAGAAGAATGCAAGTCAAAAAGATGAGTTTCTCGTAAAAGGGCATGAAAGAATGTCATATTATGAACTTGAGCAGGCAACTGAAGGATTCAACGAAGCCAACTTGCTTGGTAATGGGAGTTTCAGCAGGGTTTATAAAGGGATACTTAAGGATGGTATCATTTTTGCAGCAAAGGTATTCAATGTGCAATTGGAGGGTGCATTCAAAAGTTTTGACACGGAATGTGAGATGCTCCGCAACCTTCGCCACAGAAATCTGACCAAAGTCATCACCAGCTGCTCCAATCTTGATTTCAAGGCCCTAGTGTTGGAATACATGCCCAACGGGACACTTGACAAATGGTTATACTCTCACAACTTGTTCCTGAACTTATTGCAGAGATTGGATATAATGATAGATGTTGCATCTGCAATAGATTATCTCCACAATGGCTATTCAACGCCTGTGGTGCATTGTGACTTGAAGCCAAGCAATGTCTTGCTCGATGAAGAAATGGTTGGTCATGTAAGTGATTTTGGCATTGCAAAAATGTTAGGTGCAGGGGAGGCTTTTGTCCAAACAAGGACAATTGCAACTATTGATTTATGTATAAACATTCAATTAGTTAGGTACACTTCAATTAGTTAGTTACATAACAACTTAGTTAGTTACATAACAACTTACATTTCCATTAGTTAGTTGTAGATAGTTAGTTAATTGAGTTAGTAGTGTGTATATATATAGATATGCAAACTCATCTGTAAACATATTCTTTACATTCATGGTTTTATACCATTCTCTGTTAATATACATGTAAGAAGGGTGATCTTTCTCTTCTTCACATCTCCTTCTTCTTCTACCTAATCTGCTTCTTCTTCTTCAAGCTTCATCAATGGAGATATAGCTATACAATTCATGGTTTCTTTATTCAACATGGTATCAGAGCGGGTGTAGATCACTGTTCTTTTTTGTCAATTGAAGAAATCGAGTTCATATTACAATCAATTTCTGAGCTTATCTCTGAAGGTATTGTTCTGTTTTTTTGTCTTCTGTAATTGTTTCCTGTGAATCGATTTCACCATGGTTGAGATTACTTCTGGTCAAGTTTCCACATCAGGAACAGGAGGGAACACCATCGATATTAGTAACCCTCTCTATATACATCCATCTGACAATCCAAGTCTGATCTTAGTTCCAGCAGTTTTTGAAGGAGTTGGTTATCGATCATGGCGACGAGGTGTAATGAGATCGTTGTCTGTGAAGAATAAATTAGGATTCATTACTGGAGAATTCAAACGTCCTTCTTCAACATCTCCACAATATTGCCAATGGGAGAGATGTGATAACATGGTAATATCTTGGATCCTTAATTCTCTTAGCAAAGATATTGCAGACAGTGTTGAATATGTTTCTGATGCAGTAGAGTTATGGAAAGAGTTAGAAGATCGATATGATCAAACAAATGGTGCAAAATTGTTTCAAATCCAAAGGGATATCAATGATCTAAGTCAAGGAGTTCTTGATATCACTGTGTACTACACTAGGATGAAGAAGCTCTGGGAAGAACTAAGTAATCTGAGCATCAAGAACCAATGCAGTTGTGCTTGTAGCTGTGGAGGTAAAGAGATCATGCATAAGGCTGAACAAGATCGAAGGTTGATTCAATTTTTAATGGGGCTTAATGCGGTCTATACTGTTATTAGAGGTAGTATTCTAATGATGAATCCACTACCATCAATGGCTCAAGCTTTTGCTCTACTCGTACAAGAAGAGAAACAAAGGGAGTTTAAACCACAAGGTCAGATGTTTGCTGAAGGAAGTTCAATGAATTCATCTGTACGTGTTGGCTCATCTAATTCATCATGTGGAAGATCAAACTCTAGTAATGCTGGTTCATCAACAGGAGGAAGAGTTTTTAGAACAAACTATGCACCAAACAATTATCCTGGGAACAATAGGCCAAGGCCTTTCTGTGAACACTGCAAAAGATCAGGGCATATCATTGATAAGTGTTACAAATTACATGGTTATCCTAATCAAAACAACTCTTCTAGTGGACAAGGTGTTAATCAGCAAAGATACAATAATCAAAGGATATATACTAGAGGTAAAGGAGTAGCAGCTAATGTTTTTGGAGATTCTTCAATGGGAAAGACTGATGCTCATACAGCATGTAGTGCTAATCTCACCAATGAACAATGTGGACGACTTATTAACTTGTTACAGCACCTTCAATTAGAACAGCCTGAAAATGCTAATTCTAAGGAACAAGCAACTTGTGGAGCTGCAAACTTTGCAGGTATGATAGCTTGCAACTCATCCATTGATTTTGATAAACTGTCGTGTGGATGTCTCAAATCAAGGACTGATTTATGGATACTAGACTCGGGAGCTACACATCACATGACCTTTGATGTCAGCCATCTCTCACATATTACTGATATACCATATCCTCTTTTAGTTAAATTACCAAATGGATACAAAGTTAAAGTGACCAAAGTTGGAAATGTTAGAATCAATGACATAATCACATTGTTCAGGGTCCTCTTTATTCCTTCCTTTAAGTACAATTTGTTTTCGATTAGTTCCTTGTCTCTACATCTCAATTGTACTGCCTCATTCTCTAACTCATCTTGTACCTTGCAGGGCCCTTCAATGAAGAGGCCTCTGGAGATTGGTAAAGAACAAGATGGATTGTACTTCCTTTGCTCAGATTGTTTAAAAAAGGATAGTCACTCAACTTCACAGGTCTCATCTTCAATGGCTTGTTCTTCTCATAACAATAAGATAGGCCATCAATGTAAATGTTTTTCTCATTCTTGTAGTACCATCTGTCATTCTTACAAGCCTTCATTCAGTTCTCAAAATACTAAATCAGCTGTAAAGGACACAATTCCTAGCAACACAAATAATGTACTGGCTGGTGCTGTACCTCCTTTATCTCATGGTTCTTGTAGTGATCTGTTGTGGCATTACAAACTTGGGCATGTGCCTTTTATAAAAATGAAAGGGATTACATCCATTCCTGTGAACTTTTAATCTAAACAGTCTTTTACTTGCAACATTTGTCCTATGGTCAGGCAGACTAGACTATCTTTTCCACCTAAAACTCATAATACATCAAAGATTTTTGAGCTTCTGCATGTCGACTTATGGGGTCCCTATCATGTGTCCACTCATGACAATTTTAAATACTTCATTACGCTGGTTGATGACTTTAGTAGAACTACTTGGACACATTTGTTGAGTTGTAAAAGTAATGCCTTACACATTGTAAAATCCTTTGTCAACATGGTGGAAAATCAGTTTAAGACAAGTGTTCAAACAATAAGATCAGATAATGGTCTTGAGTTTGTGAATCAAGAATCTGTCCTTTATTTTCAATACAAAGGAATATTACATCAAAGATCTTGTCCTTATACACCACAACAAAATGGGGTAGTAGAGAGAAAACATAAGTATCTTTTAGAAACAGCTAGAGCTCTACTTTTCCAATCCAAATTACCTACCAAGTATTGGGGGGAATGCATACTTACTGCCACATATATAATCAATAGACTTCCTTCTACCTACCTACACAACAAATGTCCTTTTACTATATTGTATAATCAAGAGCCTCAATATTCTCATATGAGAAGCTTTGGGTGTCTTTGTTTTCCTACTGCACACAAACATCAGAGAACAAAATTTGAGCCTAGAGCTACACCTCATGTATTCCTAGGGTATCCTTTTGGAGTTAAGGTTACAAAGTGTTGAGTTTGAGCAGCAATAAAATACATATCTCTGTGTTCCATGAAACAATATTTCCTTTTTCTAAAATCACTAATCTTTCTACCAGTAATCCTTCTTCAAGTTCTACATCTGATAGTGTTTTTCTTGATGATAATGATATTAATCTCACCTCTCTAGAGCCTGAACAATGTGATCCCATTGAGACTACTTCCCTTTCACCAAATCTCACACCCTCAGAATGTGATCTTTCCATCAGAAAGTCTACTAGAATTCATAAAACCCCAGTTTATCTTAAAGACTACATGACTTCCCTGCATGCATCTTTTTCACAACACCATCATATAGCCTCTACATCCTTGTATCCTGATAGTCAGTCACTTATATTGAGTGTGTCACATGATTGTGAACCATCATCATTTAATGAGGCTGCAATGAATCCTGCTTGGCAAGATGCAATGACACAAGAGTTGACTGCACTACATGACAATGATACTTGGGAACTTATGTCTCTTCCTGCTGGTAAGAAGGCTGTTGGATGTAGATGGGTTTATAAGATAAAACATAAAGCTGATGGGAGTATAGAGAGGTATAAAGCAAGGCTAGTTGTGAAGGGTTACACTCAGCACTATGGAATAGATTATACAGAGACTTTTTCTCCAGTCATCAAGATGACAACTGTGAGAGTTTTGATAGCTACTGCTGTAAAGAAACACTGGAATGTATACCAGTTGGATGTCAACAATGCCTTTCTTCATGGAGCATTGCATGAAGAAGTATACATGGATGTTCCACAGGGCTTGAGTGTTGATACAAAAGGCATGGTTTGTAAACTCAATAAGTCCCTATATGGTTTAAAACAGGCCAGTAGACAATGGTATGCTAAATTGTCTGATGCCTTGAAGTATAGGGGATACAGTAATTCATTAAATGACTATTCTTTGTTCTATAGAAAACAAGGTCCTTCCACTGTGTTTATAGCTGTATATGTAGATGATATTCTACTTACTGGAAATGATGCTGAAGAGATTGATCAGCTAAAGAACTATCTTCATAACCAATTCAAAATCAAGGATTTGGGAAAGCTGCACTATTTCTTGGGTTTGGAGATACTATATACTGAGGCTGGAATGCTTATTTCTCAAAGAAAATTTGTGCTTGATCTTCTCAAAGAGTATAATTGCACAGAATACTCTAGTCTAGCTTCTCCTCTTGATTGTACAATCAAGCTCAAAGCTAGTGAAGGGAAACTTCTGGAAAATCCTCAGTCATATAGAAAGCTGATTGGAAAGCTAAATTTTCTCACCAATACAAGATTAGACATTGCATATGGAGTACAACATCTAAGTCAGTTTATGCAGGAACCTAGAGAGCCTCATTTGCAGGCTGCATATCATCTACTTAGATATTTAAAGAAAGATCCAACTTTGGGTTTACTCATGTCTTCTACTAATGACTACAAGGTACAAGCCTTTTGTGACTCAGACTGGGCATCTTGTCCTGATTCAAGAAGATCAGTTACTGGTTACATTGTATTGTTGGGAACAAGTCCTGTCAGCTGGAAATCAAAGAAACAAGAGACTATATCTCTTTCTTTAGCTGAGGCTGAATACAGATCCATTAGAAAAGTAGTAGGGGAATTGGTATGGTTAAGCAGGTTGTTTGAGGAGCTAAATGTGCCATGTACTAATCCATTTCCTGTTTTCTGTGATAGCCAGTCAGCTTTACAGATTGCCAAGAATCCTGTGTTCCATGAGAGAACGAAGCATATTGAAGTCGATTGTCATTTTGTGCGAGCTAAACTTCAAGAAGGATTGATTTCGCTACATCATATTGGAACTGGTGAACAGCTTGCTGATATCCTAACCAAGGCACTCACTGGAGTGAAGCATTCAGCAATTCTCAGCAAGTTGGATCTGCTTGCTGCACCTCCAACTTGAGGGGGGGTATTGATTTATGTATAAACATTCAATTAGTTAGTTACACTTCAATTAGTTAGTTACATAACAACTTAGTTAGTTACATAACAACTTACATTTCCATTAGTTAGTTGTAGATAGTTAGTTAATTGAGTTAGTAGTGTGTATATATATAGATATGCAAACTCATCTGTAAACATATTCTTTACATTCATGG